CAGAATATCCAGGGCTACACAGAGAAACCTTATCTACAAAACAGAGAAGGATTTATTTTATTGTGTATTGATGTGCATATGTGTGTCCTGTCTCTGTGGGGTATATACATTGGGTGCTTTGCTCCCAGAGGTCCAGCTCCATCCTGACTAGATATGAAACAGATTTGTTTGGATGAAGTATAGCAGGGGTGACACATGTGAAAACAAGCGCTTTTGAAAGAAAAGTTTGCTCACTGCTCCCAAGAGGAGGGACACACCATACCATACATGGCCATGGCCACAGGTGAGTCTGTCTATGCAGAGACCCAGACCTTTGGTAGGATTTTCTCCAGAATGAACTGGATGGGCTGGGCAGGCCAGTTTGCGCCAGCCTGGAGCTGGATCAAGTAGGTAGGTGCTCTGGATCATAGGCAGCATCTCCATTTGTCTAGGACCTGGAACACGGTGAGTAAGGGCAGGGAAAGCTTTGGTGGTATTCCAGATGAGAGTTGTGGGAGGAATTTGAAGTAGCTGATGTGCTTGTGGAAGGTAGTTTTGCTCTGTTTAGGAGTTAGCTGGCTCCAGCTTGGCCAAGCCTCATACCACAGTATAGAAACCCAGCTGCCTACACACTTCATGACAAGATGGCTGTTTCTTCTTCACACCTTCACCCTCTCCCCATGCTCCACCCTCACAGTCACCCAGGAACTCTAGGAATTCCCCTTCTCCTGGCATGCTTTTCCTTAGTCCCTCCTCACTAGCACTTGGGTCCCACTGCCTTCCATGTGACCTTCAAAGGTCTCTGAGCTTTAGTCTGTGTCCCTGTCTCTTCTTGGCAGCAAGATTTCCTCAGATCTCCTGGCCAGTAACTCCCCAGCCCTGTGCTTGTGTTGCTCCAGCCTAGAATCACTGGCCCTGCCTATGGCTGCAAGGACTACACCTGTGAACCGATGAAGCCTGTGCAGTCTCTGGTCCAGGTCCAGTATCCATGCATAGCCAGACAAAAAATGCTGGTTGCCTTGGTGTTTAATTTTCCCCTCAAACCTTTCACCATTTTATACAAAGATCCTGCAGATCTGCTCCCCAAAATAAATGTCTTTTATTGTGTCTATGTTGAGCCCCTACCTAGCTGCAGCTCAGTTCTGTTCAGGTCTGTTGACCTCCACAGTGGGTACCCTGGCTCTTCCTTCCTGAAGTCTAGCTCCAAAGCACAATCTCTGCTATTTTTTTTTTTCCAAGACAGGGTCTTTCTGTAGTCCTGGCTGTCCTGGGGCTCACTATATAGACTAGGCTGGCTTTCAATTCACAAAGATCCATCTGCCTCTGCATCCTGCCTGAGTGCTGTGATTACAGGTGTGTGCTGCCACATCTAGCCCACAGAATACATTTTTAAAATGTATTTCAGACTGGCTGTGGTTGTCCATGCTTGTAACCCTAGCAGGTAGGGGACTGAGACAGGTGAGTCAGGAGTTCAAGGCCAGCCTGAGCAATTTAGCAAGATGCTGTCTCAGTCTGAAAAAGTAAAATGGATTCCCTATGTAGCTCACTGTAGGGGTCTGCCCAGTGTTGGAGGGCCATGGGTTTCATTGCAGAACACACACACACACACACACACACACACACACACACACACACTAAATTAAAATACAAACATTTTACACAGCCTGATGTGGTTCATGCTTATAATTCAAGCATTCGGGAGTAGGAGCCAGAAGAATGGGAAATTCAAGCCTAGCCTGAGCTACATGTCTCAAAAGAATCAAAAATTTTAAAAAGAAATTACTTTTCAGCTCAGCATATGACATATACCCGAAGCTCCAGCTACTTGGGGCTGAGGCCAGGAAACCCCTTAAAGCCTGGGAGTTTGCGGCCAGCCCACACTACATATCAAGACCTTATCTGAAAACAATAAATAAATAAATAAGTGCTTTTCATTTAAGGCTAGGCAAAGAGGTCAAAGGGATAGAATTGAGACAGGGTTCGTGTTACCTCATATCCCAGGGTAACCTTCACTTCTGATTCTCCTACTTCTACCACCACCACCCAAACTCTGGATTGTAGATATACACCCCCACCTGGCCTGGGTGGTGCTGGGGTAATGTATACTAGGTAAACTCTACTGGTTGAGCTGCATCGCCAGCAAGTTAGTGGTGTTTGACAGTGTACCAAGACTCTAGGCCCGGAAAACATACATACAAGCAGAAAAGTGGGCCTGGGGTCTGTCCCCTTGGGTTTCTGTTGCTGTGATAAACACGGTGATAAACACTGTGACAAAAAGCAGCTTGGAGAAGACAGGTTTAGGTCAGCTCACAGCTCAGTCAATCATGGAAGGGAGTCATGCCAGGAACTGAAGCAGAGGCTAGCCTGCTTTCTCTAACAACCCCACAACAGCAGGACAGGAGTGGCACCCGCCTGTAGTGGGCTGAACCACACCAGTCGTAATGCCCTTCAGGCTTCTGTCCAGATGGGTCTGATGGAGGAGGCATCCTCTTCATAAGATGTGAACCTGACCACGTGGACAAAAGACTGGCGGTACAGCGCCTCATCTCATACCACATGTTCAGCTGGAACACTGGGCTGGGGACGAGGTTCCACAGTAAAGTACTGGCATAGCATATAGGAGAGCTGGCTTCAAATGCCAGCAACACACACACACACACACACACACACACACACACACACACACACATCAGATGTCTAAATATAAGAGCTAACCTTGTATAACTTTTGTTTTTTGAGCAGCATATTAGCTCAGGCTCTCCTGACACTTACAGTGGCCTGTCTGCCACCTAAGTGCCAGAACCACAGCCATGAGCCACCACACCTAGCCTACTGTAAAACACTTAGAAGAAAGTGTTGATCGTAACCTAGAATTAGGCAATGATTTATTAGAAATAAAACTCAGCTGGGCCTCTCAGCACTCAGGAGGAAGAGACAGGCAAATCTCTGGGTTCAAGGCCAGCTTGGTCTAAACAGTGAATTCCAGGACAACAGAAAAGCAAAACAACAAAAGAAATAATACTTAAACCCCAATCATCTAAACGGAAAACTCTGGTTCCAGGCAAGGTAGTATATATGTCCTGTGATACCAGCACCTGAAAGCTGTGTTGGACTCCCTAAAGCTGTCCTCTGACGTCCACACATGTAGCTGCACTTTCCCATACACAAACACATAAATCATGATAAAATTTAAATAAATAAATAGGAGCTGGAGAGATGGCTCAGTGTTAAGAGCACTGGCTGCTCTTCCAGAGGACCCAGGTTCATTTCCAGCTCACACTTGACAGCTCATAACTGTCTGTGACTCTAGTCCTACAACATCTAGCAAACATCCTCTTCTAGCGTCCCCCAGGCACCAGGCACATAGGTGATATGTAGACATACAAGTATTTAAATAAATTAATTAACCATCAAAACTATTCAGAAAGTAAAGAAGACCCCCCCAAAAGGAAGAGAGGTGCTCACCGTAACCAAATAGCTAGCAAGCCGAAGCCGACAGACTTACAAGTCACTGCAGGATTGGGATAAGAGCTTTAAGCCCTCTTCTGGCTTCCATGGGCACTACGCTGGCATGCTGCATAGACATACAAGCAGACAAAACACACACATAAAAAAGTACAATTTAAAGTCAAGTTAGTCATGCTTAGTGGCTCACTCCTTTAATCCTAGCATTCAGAAGGTAGAAACTGGTGGGTCTCTGTGAGTTCAAGGCCACCCTGGTCTACTTATCAAACTCTAGAACAGCCAGGGCTACACATTGTGACCCTGCCTCAGAAAACCAAAAATAGTCCAAGTTCCTGGCCAGCCTAGTCTACAAAATGAGTTTCAGGACAGCCAGGAATACACAAAGAAGCTCTGTCTCAGAAATACCAAGAAAAAGAAAGAAAAAACCCAAAAATATGATGGTGTTAACCATGTTACTGTGTGATCTGTAGTTCTCCTGCAGCAGATGGTGACAGTCTTGTGCAGTTTAGAGCTGCATCGCTCATAATACCAAAAAGGGAAACAAACCAACTCTATGAAGATGAGCGATGGCTTGGTAGTTCATGTGGTAGAATACTTACCCTAGCACCTCATAAATTCACCCAGAACTCAAATAGAGGCAGAGGGATTGGGAATACAAGGATATCTTTGTTTACATGGGGAGTTGAAAGCTAGCCTGTACTTGAGACCATGCCTTGGGAAAAAGGCTAAGAGGGTTGTAGAAATTACTCCATCATTAAGGATGCTTCACAAGTGTGGTGCGCAGACCTGAAATTCCAGAATTCAGGAGGTAAAGGGGGGGGGGAATCAGAAATTCAAGGCCATCCTCAGCTACATAGAGTTTGAAGCCAGCCTGAACTACATGAGTCTCAAAAAAGGGTGGATGAGGCTAGAGAGATGGCTCAGTGGGTAAGAGTGCTCAGTGAGCAACCATGAGAAGGACTTGAATTCAGATCTCGGTACTCACTGTAATGAGCCAAGTATGTTCTCAAATGTATTAGTGGTTCTTGGTCCTCTTCTCTATGAAGCGTTGGGATGACAATGTACAATGTGGCATTTCTTTCCAATTTATTTGTTGAGACAAGGTCTTGCTATGCAGCCTGGCTTGCCTGAACTCATTATGTCAACGGTACTGGCCTCAAACTCTCAGAAAGCTACTCCTAACATTTCTGTTGTTGTTGTTGTTGAGATGGGGGTCTCACTATGTAGCCCTGGCTAGCTTGGAACTTAGAGTAGGCATTCTGAGAGCTAGGAGATCTATCAGGCTTAACCTCAAGAGTGCTGGGATTAAAGGTTCATGCCACCATGCCCAGCCCAGCCCGGAACATTTCTTGACCCAGTCAAGTTGATAATCAAAGTTCACCATCACATACTGCACATTCCTGTTTTAATTTTGCATGCATGAATCAAAGTGATGTGGCATAGTTCACTCTGTCTTTACAGGGTGTGACCAGTGTCATGTTGGCTGGGTGGGCCTGGTTTCTTGGGAAGTTTCCTACAAGCTAACTTTCTCACCACACCTCTGCTGCCTCTTTCAGAAAGCATGCCTTGAACTGCCATCGGATGAAGTCTGCTCTCTTCAGCGTGCTCTGCGAGATCAAGGGGAAGACAGGTAGGCAATTCTAAGACTGTCTGGCTCCTGCCTTGTTTATGTGCACCTGTTGGCCCCTCACATCACATGGTTCTGCCATCTTTTAAAATTGAAACAACAGAACTTTATTCTAACTCAAGTGTCCATGGAAGTCTTCTACCTCTGCAAACTCTTGTGTGGGGGTGGTTGCCAGGTGGTGATGGTACACGTTTAATCCTAGCACTTGGGAGGCAGAGGTGGGTCTCTGTGAGTTCAATGCCTGCCTGGTGTACAGAGTGAGTTCCAGTACAGGCTCCAAAGCTACACAGAAAAACCAAAACCAAAAATAAAAAATAAAAGAAGCGGGTGATACACAGGGCCATGATGTCATCTAGGCCCAGGGTGCTTCATAGGACCATGTCTGGGTCAGTGGCCCAGCTTCAGCCAGGGTCTGAGTTGACGTCCATAGCTCCTGTTACCACCAAGGGCTGTGCAGATGCTAAGGCTGAACAGATACCTGAGACCATGTTAGTGTATAAGGCCTTGATGCCACTGACGCCATACTCATCTGGATGTCCTGTGCTGCCACTGGGGCCATGGTGATGTGCAGGCCTGGACTGCTGCCAAAAACTTGTAACCTTAATAAGATAGGATCCTGTCTAGACTAATCAAATCAATGAGTTCTGGGTTCAATTGAGAGGCCTTAACTCAGTATGTAAGGGGCAGGGGCTGGAGATGGCTTAGTTGTAAGGGGGAAGGGCTGCAGAGATGGCTCAGTGGTTGAGAGTGCTGGTTGCTTTTACAGACCCAGGTTCAATTCCCAGCACCTATGTGATGGCTCACAGCCACCTGTAACTTCAGTTCCAAGGGATAGGAAGCTGCCTTCTCACCTTGCAAGCTGGCACATTTTATGTGCACAAACATGCATGTAGTTAAAACTACATATATAAATCAAGGAGAGTATTCATGCCAACCGTGGGCCCACGCGCGCGCGCGCACACACACACACACACACATACATTATACATCACACACATAAGTACAAAGAAAAAGCCATGCCTGGGGACACAGTCCTGTGTAAATTCAAGAAGCTGAGGCATGAGATTCCAAGTTCAAGGTGGACCTGGCCTTCCTTTTCCTGACCTTGTAAGGAAAGACTTTGTGAAGTCAGGCAGGTGACTGACACCTTTTATCCCAGCACTCAGGAGAAGCAGGCATAGATCTGAGTTCAAGGCCAGCCTGGTGAATATTCCAGGACTGCCTTCTCACCTTGTAAGACAGAGTGAGACCCTGTCTCAAAAACATGAACCTCAAACTCTTTTTAAATAATATTTGTTGTTGTTGTTTTGAGACATGTTTCTCTGTGTAGCCTTGGCTGCCCTGGAACTAACTCTATAGATGATGCTGGCCTCATACTCACCAAGATGTGCCTCCCTAGTACTGGGATTAAAGGTGAGTGTCACCACTTCCTGGCTAATTTATTTTTTTTATTTTTATTTTTATGTGCATTGATATTTTGCCTGCATGTATGTCTGTGTGAGGGTGTCAGACCTTAGAGTTATAGATGTTGTGAGCTGCCATGTGAGTGTTGAGAATTGAGCCCAGGCCCTCTGGAAGAACACCTCTGAGCCATCTCTCCAGCATGAACCTCAGAATTTGATCCTTCAGCCTCAATCTTGTGGGTGCTGAGATGTCTGCTTCCATCAGTCTGATGATTCCAGGCACTTCCTTCAAAGGGCTGTGCACTCTGGTGCTTTTGCAGCTGTTTAATAGAGGGGAAAGGCTTCATGTATATCTATTGTAGCTTTATCCTAATTTCATACTTATTGAGAGGCCAAATGATGTTCTATTTTGTGCTTCTTTTTTCTTTTATTTGAGACAGTGTCTCTTATCTCCAACTAGCCTCAAGCTATGTAGTCAAGGCTGGCCTTGAACTTCTGACCCTCCTGCCTCAGGTGCCAGGTAAGCTCTGCTGACTGAGATATAGCCTATGCCTGTATATGTTCATGGTCCCCCGTGAACAGTGCTGCTGATGCCAGGGATGCATAGAATCTGTCCAAAGTCCCTGATCTTCTTATTTTTGTCTTTTTCTTTTTGGCAGTGCCAGGAGGGACCCAGGCCCTTGTACATGCTGTGCAGGTTTAGTTCCTCCTCTTGCTGCTGTGATAAAAACACCTGGCTAAAGCAATATGAAGAGGAAGAGTTTGGTGTAGCCCCCGATTTAAGGAAACAGTCTATCAAGGTGGGAAAGCTTGATGGCAGCAGCGGCTCTGGGCTGTACAGAGGGAATGAGAAGCAGTTAACCAATACTAATAGTTGCTCGTGTCTATCACCTCCTGAGTCAGCACTGCTCAGACAGGGCCTCTGTACTCAGACACAACAGTCTGGATCAAGCCAGGCATTGGTGGCACACTCCTTTAGTCCCAGCACTCAGGAGGCAGAGGCAGGTGGACCTCTGTGAATTGAGTTCATTGAGTCCAGCCTGGTCTACAGAGCTAGTTCAAGGACAGGCTCCAAAGCTACACAGGGAAACCCTGTCTCGACAAAAAAGAAAAAAGAAAAAGAAAAAGTTTGAGGTTTGTTATCTGGAACCCAGATGATAGGCAGAGAGAACCAACTATGGACAGACACACACACACACACACACACACACACACACACACACACATGCATGCACACATACATGCATAAGAAGTGAGAAAAAAAGAGAAGAAAAAAATTAAAAGAATTTTTCAAACTCATGAGCTTGCAGGGAATGTTTGACATTGAACTCCTCTCCCCCACTGAACTGCATTATTGCCTTAGTTAAGACACTGCCTAGCTTGTTGTGGTAGTGTCTGCCTGTCATACTCAGGAAGAGGTAGAAGGATCAAAGTTTAAGTCTAGCCTGGGCTACATAAACACTGTACCACACCACCAAACATTAATAAAGCTGCCCACCTTTAGTCATAGCACTTGGGAGGCAGATCACAGGTGGATCTCTGTGAGTCCAAAACCAGCTTTGTTTATAATATGAATCTAGATTGCTAAGGCTGCACAGGGAGACCCTCTCCCATAAAATAAAAATAAAAGGAGAAGTGGGAAACAGCTCCACCTAAAATGGAAGTTGGGTTTTGGTACCATATTAATTCATAGACCTAATTGTTATGGCACTTCCTGGGCTGGAGTGGGCACAGCATCCCTGCTCTCAGCACAGCCTTCAGCTCTGCTGTGTCCTGCTGTCTCTCAGGTGCTCCAACCGAGAAGGCCACTTCTGTCTGCTCGCCAGCACCATGTAGCTTTCTTGGTTTGCATTTGTTTTCTCAATTTCTTTTAATTTTTCAAGTTTTTTAATTAAAATTTTTAATTTTTTTGTTTTGTTTTGTTTTTGTTTTCCTTGTTCTCAAGAAAGAGTTTCTCTGTGTAGACTTGACTTTTCTGGAACTTGCTCTGTGGACCAGTCTGGCCTAGAACTTGTAGATTGTCTTGCTTCTGCATCATGATAGGATTACACGTGTGTGCTGATGAGGGTTGTTCTTCTGTATATATTCTTCTCCTATTGGTTGATGAATAAAACACTGATTGGCCAGACAGGAAGTATAGGCAGGGCTAGAATATGAGGAGAATTCTGGGAAACATAGGCAGGTGCAGTCGCCATGTGAGAAGAGAGGATGCACGAGGTGTCTCCAGTAAGGTAAGACCATGAAAGCTGGCCTGTGGCCTGCTGTCTGTCTCCTGATGCCTGAGGCTTTCTTCTGCACTTCCAGAAGGTTCTCTGCCTCACATCCTCCAAGCCCAGCTGTACCACCTGTGTCCAGAGGACCTGAGGCCCGAGAAGCAGTGAGATTGTTACACCCCTGACATGCCATTGCTGTTGGGGTGTTACTGTTAGAACATAGATCTCAGGGCTGTTTGTGGGCCTACCACCACCCTGCTTAGCCTCCACTTTCAGTGTAAATGTTACATAAGCTTTTATTCCTGCCTGGTGTGTGGGTGTGCATGTACTTACATGTGGAAGCCAAAAGTTGATGTCACATGTGTTTGTCTCTTACTCTCCATTTTGTAGTTTGAGGCAGACGCTCTCTGAAACTGGAACTCACTGACTGAGCTGGACTGGCTAGCCAGCAGGCCCTTCCTGTCTGTCTCTCCAGTGTCGGCATTGCAGGGACCGTACCTGACTTCTTACATAGTTGTTGGTAATCCAACTCATGTCCTCAGTTTTCAGCTTGCTATCTCCTCAGCCTCTCCTATTGGTTTCTTATTTAAATTCTGAGGAGTAGATGCTGTGGCTCCCAGCAAATGGGAGCATGGAAGGTAGGCTTTCTTAGGGACTCCAACACACAAGTTTATTGACAGTGCCTTGGCTTCCAGCAGATCACCCTGCCCTACTGCTGCTTCAGTGCTCTGTGTGGTGACCCCACATGCAAGTGAGCCCAAAGGCTGCACTTGGCTGTCCTCTGGGTACAGTTGACAGCCTCGTGCCCCTCAGTGTTGGTCCGTTTCACCAGCCAGTGTCAACACTGCATTCTGAGGCATGCTGTCCCCACCCATGCCTTTCTGCTCCCTTTGTGAGCTGCCCACTGCTCACAAGAAGTTGTCTCTGTCACCAAAGGTTCTCAGATATGTAGCCTTTGGAGCTTGCTGCTTCTTTGGTTGATTGATTGACTGGGTTTCTCTGTGTAGCCCTGGCTTTTCTAAAACTTCTCTGTAGATCAAGCTAGCCTCAAACTCAGAGATCCACTGGTCTCTACCTCCTGAGTGCTGGGGTTTAAAGGTAGGCACCATCACTTCTTAGTTTTAATATTGTTTTGAGGCAGGGTCTTCTTATACAGCCCTGGCCAGCATAGACCTCACTATGTGGACCAGTCTTCTGGTCAGTGTTACGAGCAGTTTTCCCACCAGCCTGGTCCCAGAGTTGCATCAGCCCCAAATAATACACAAAGACATTGTATTAGATATAATACTGTTGGCCTGTTACTAGCATTACTTATTGACTAGCCCTGTCTTAAATATTAACCCATTTCTACCAATCTAAGTATTTCCACGTGGTCTTATCTTATTGGAGAGAGGGCCCAGCGTTCTGCTCTCTTTCTAAGTCCTACATGTTGAATCTCTACTACCTATCCCCAAATCTTCCTTCTCTCCTAGTACCACCTATCTTGCTTTCCTATTGGCCAACAGTGCTTTATTCATTAACCAACATGAGAAACATATACAGAATGACATCTCCCATCAGCTCAGCTGGCAGAATGCTTCCCTGGCACTCATGAGCCATGTGTGGTGGCACACACTGTCATCCAGCCCTCAAGAAGAGAAGGAAGCAGGGGGATCAAGGGTTCAAGGTTAGCCTGGGGTGGTAGCACATACCTTTTGTCTCTGCATTCAGAAGGCAGAGGCAAAGGCAGGTGGATCTCTGTGAGTTCGAGGCCAGACTGGTCTACATGGTGAGTTCCAGGACAGCTAGGGCTACATAACAGAGAGACCCTGTCTTAAAGAGAGTTCAAGACTGACCTGGGTTACAAACCAAGGCCCTGCCTCAAAAATCCAGAAGTAGCCAGTGTGGAGGCTTGTGACTAATCCCAAAACAGGAGAGGCAGGAAGATTTGGAGTTCAAGGTCAACCGAGTCTATTTTGTGAGCCTGAGCTAAATGAGACCCTATTTCATCCCTCTGCAAGCATCCCCAGACCCAGAAACAAGAAGATATTTTCGTGACTGCCGTCTCCACAGGCTGTGATTCTGATGCTCCGTTTGCTCCGTGAGTACAGGCTTGGGCGTGTCTCGGCAGGCAGGGCACTTGTGTCTGAGACATTCAGTGAAGCTGAGGCCTATCCCATGGAAGCCGATGAGAGCACTTGAACACTGTAACCCTATCTTCACCCTGCCTTCTGTACCCTGCACTTCTGGCTCATGTGGAGGGGTGGCAGGCTAAGAACCTGAGCCACATGTTCTGGCTGGGCATGCCTTCCACCCACCGGCTCAGGTAGCTGAACTGGGGCACATTTTTTGTTAGAATGGAGCAGGGTGGAGTTAAGGTTCTTACTCAATCAAAGCAAGTTGTTGAAGCCCCCTGTGAGTTGACAACTCCAGGGTAGTCATGATGCCACAGCAAGGGGAAAGTGCAAACTAGGGTCACCATGGGCCCCAGATACAGGACTTCAGTGTGAGGACAGCAGGAGAGCAAGGGAGTCTGAGTTCTGCTCCAGTGGAAAAGGCCTAGGCTCAACTCACAGAGTCTTCTCTGTAGTCCTAACCTGATGCCCACAGCCACTGGCTGGGAGCTGACCTTCCAGCCAGGGATAGGATATGTCATAATGAGACACACAGGACACAGGTCTCTAAGCTGAGAGAGGCATTTGTCTACATGTGTGTCTGTGCATGCCTGGTGCTCAAAGGGACCATAAGAGGGCATTGGATGGTTGTGAGCTGCAGTACAGACGTTGGGAACTAAAGCTAGGTCCTCTGCAAGAGCTAAGTCATCTTTGTTTGTTTGTTTTTCAAGTCCTGGATGTCCTGGAACTCCCTCTGTAGACCAGGATGGCCTCAAAATCACAGAGATCTGCTTGCCTCTGCCTCTGAGTTCTGGGATTAAAGATGTGTGCTACCACTGCCTGGCTTATTTTTTATGTGTATTAGTATTTTCCTGGATGGAGGTATGTACCATGTGTAGTGCAGGAATTATAGACAGGAGACAGCTCACTAGCACCTGGATCAAGCATTCTCTTTTCTGCTTTATAGGAGTGCTACCCTCCATACACACATGGACACAAACACTCATGCACACAGACACATGCATGGAGACACAGACGCATGCATGCACACATACACAGGGACACATGCATGTATACACGTACTCGCATGCGCGCACGCGCGCGCGCACACACACAGACACACACACACACACAGACACATAGGGTTAAAGGTGAAGATCAGAGAAGCAAAGTGGCCAGCCACTAGAAAGTTCTCACCTCTACTAATGCTCAGACCAAACAAATCCTAGACTATCTCCAGATTACATCTGTTTCTACAAAGCCTCAGGCTGCCCTGAGCTCCTGTCTCCTCCCAGTTTAAATTCCTCTCTAGTGCTGGGATTAAAGGCACGGGATCCCAAGTGCTGGGATCATCTTTGTTTGTGTGTGTATGAGTTCTGTTTCTCTGTTGGACTGAATCCATTTTGTGTAGCTCAGGTAGCCTAGAACTAACAGAGATCCATGTTCTTCTGTCTCCCAAGTGCTGAAATTAAAGGTGTGTGGTGCCACCACTGTCTGGCCTCTATGGCTGTGGCTAGCTTTGCACTCTGATCTTCAGACAAGCTTTATTTCTTAGATCATAAACAAAATATCACCACATACACACCCGTACCCAGACACACATGTATACATAATAAAAAATTTTAAAATAATGCCCAGCTATGGTGCCAGTGTCACTTGGTCTGGCTATTTTTCTCTGCAGAGAACACATCCTGGTCTGCCTGTCTCTTTTTATCTAGTTATGAGCATCCGGCAGCATCAGGAGGAGGACCCTCCCGACGCTCAGCTCCTGAGGCTGGATAGCATGCTGCTGGCTGAGGGTGTGTCCAGGCCAGAGAAGAGAGGACTAGGAGCAGCAGCAGGCACCACAGCAACACCAGGTGGCTGTCCAAATGACAATAGCATTGAGCACTCAGACTACAGGGCCAAGCTGTCCCAGATCCGACAGATTTACCACTCTGAGCTAGAGAAGTATGAACAGGTGATCTTTCTACACACAAGAGTTTCTCATGTGTGTGCACTGGCCACAGCCGGATGTGGACCATAGCCCTCTCCTCTGTGGCAGAGCAGAGACGGCCTGCTGCAGTCAGTCACTGCAGAGTTGGCTGTGATTACTTTAAACCCCTTTTCCTTCCCTCCTCAGAAGCTGACCTGCGTGTCAGCTGTGGGGGTGTGAAACCTACTGCCCTGCACACAGCGGCTTAGTCACAGGCTGGCCCATCTTTTCCCACCCCAGGCCTGTCGTGAGTTCACCACACATGTCACCAATCTTCTCCGGGAACAGAGTAGGGTGAGGCCTGTGTCCTCCAGGGAGATGGAGCGCATGGTGGACATCATCCATGGCAAGTTCAGTGCCATCCAGAGACAGCTGAAGCAGAGCACTTGTGAGGTGGTCATGACCCTGCGCTCACGGCTCCTGGATGCCAGGTCAGGGATGCATGCCACCAGGTTCCCCAAGGGTTGGCTCTTTGGAATAGAAGTGGGTCAATGCTACCTCTGGTGTCTGTTCTGTGTTGCTAGAGATTAAACTGGGGTCTTTGCACTAAGCTCCTGTCTCCCTACACACCAGCCCTGTCCTGAACTTAAAATTAAGTTCATGCAGAGGTTCTAGCTAGGCCTCACGCAGCTTCTCTGGGAGAAGAGCCAAAGTACTGACTGACGGTCTGTGTGCCATGGCATACAATGTGGCTGTCAGAGGACAACCTTGGGTATTGGTCTTCATCTCCCACTTTGCTTCAGGCAGGATCTCTGCTGCTTTTTTACTATATATGCCAGGCTAGATGCCTACCAGCTGCAGGGGACTCTCCTGTGTGCTACCCATTTTGCCACAGGAGCACTGCAACTTCAACCACAGACATGCACTGACATATATGGCTCTTACATGGGTTCAGAAAACTCATCAGGCCCCCATACTTGTTCATTACCCCCTGGGGCATCTCTCAAGTCCCTAACTGCTATTTTAAAAACTACAGAAAATTCAGAATGAGAGGTGGCTCAGTCAGTATGTTTGTCATGCACATAGAAGGACATGGTTTTATATACCCAGTGCCTACATAAAAGCAGGCATAGGCCAGCAAGATGGCTCAGTGGGTAAAAGAACTTGTTGCAAAAGTCTTGAGACCTGAATTTGGTGCCCAGAATGACCTGAACCTGCAGGAATATGGGTCCTGAGTGGTCAGGTGTCAATGGGAGGGGAGGGGAGGATAAATAAGCAATAGCTGGGACCAGGAGGCCTTACATAAGCTGAAGATTTAGGCCAAGGTGGTTTATTAAGAAATATAGCATGCTGGAATGTAAAAAAAAACAAATTAATAAAATTTATTTTATTAAAAATAGTATAGTGCCCTGTATACTACTTGGGGGGGGGGGACGGCCAGGGTTAGCAGAGAGATAAACCAGACAATGTTGGCAAAGACATGGGGCATCTCAGACACAGCTGTTTAAGGACTGATAACCACAGCTGAGGGGGAAGGATCGGGTCCCCAGAAGTTGCAACCTTGACTCCTTTGAGGCTGGCTCCAGTATCAGACTGGCCTTGCCAAGTCCACTCCTGGACAAGGATACTGAACTGTTGTACCCTTTGCCCTTTCATCAAGGCCTCTGAGATAGTCCTGTGTTGGTCTGACTCTCCACACCAGAAGCCATGATGGATGGAGAGAACCAACTGCCAGAAAGTTGTCTCCTGACCTGTGTGTGCAGACAAACAGACATACACACACACACACACACACACACACACACACACACACACACACGCGCGCGCGCGCGCGCCAGAAGCTGCTGTGACCAGGCACTGGGAATGTGGAGACAGGCAGATCCCTGGGGCCTGCCAGCCAGATCAGTAAGCTCCATGTTCAGTGAGAGATCTTGCCTCAAAGAAACAAGTGGAGAGTGACAGCAGAGGACACAGGACATCAACCTCTAGCCTTGACATGCATGTGCACAAGCACATAGACTGTCAGGAGAGTATGGATGTGACAGCTGTGACTAGAGTCCCATCATGAGAACACCACAGACTGAAGGTCTCTGTCTGCAGGCGGAAGCGGCGGAATTTCAGCAAGCATGCCACCGAAGTGCTGAACGAGTATTTCTATTCCCATTTGAGCAATCCTTATCCCAGTGAAGAGACCAAAGAAGAACTGGCCAGGAAAGGTGGTATCACAGTGTCCCAGGTGAGCCTTCCTACCCTGGAAAAAGTATAAGTCTTCTGAGGACATTACTAAATGTGTGGGGAGGACTCCTGGGGAAGTTAATTAGTATGGAGGGAGGATTCCTGGGGAATTTGCTTAATGTGGAGGGAGGACTTCTGGGGAAGATAGTTAATATTTGGCCCTTGCCCCATGGTGTGTCAGCTGGCACAGCTCAGATCCCAGCTTGCACTGTGAATCAAAACAAACAAAAGGGAAGAAGGATGAGAGAGCATGGAGACTCGGGCGGTGCTGTGAACTGTAGGAGTTTGTGGCAGCAGGGCTCTCTGGCGGGGGGGAGGGGGTAGGGGTGGTGGTGGTGTCAGACTCCTGATCCTGTGTCGTGGCTCTTGATCACCTTTGTTTTCTTGGAACTGGAAGCAAAGGGCAAAGGAGAGAGCAAGAAAAGGCCAGAGTTCCAAGAGAACATTCCTGAAGGCTTGACAGGACAGACCACTTCAGCATGCAGTGTGGGCAATGTGACTGTGGTCTCAGGTCACACTGCCTGTCACACCAGTAATGATGGACACAGGCACATAAGTGACTTGTCTCATTCCTCCTTGCTTCACTGTTGGAAAAGCAGTGTACCCCTTTTATGAGCATCCTCAGCCCCTAGCCCAGGCTGCTCACGATGTGACAGAGCCCAGTCGTGCAGAGGACCCAGACACAACTTCATCTTCTTTAGGGAGCTGCTCTGTGATGTCCTCAGAACAAGGCCAGAGCTGAGGGAAGGCTCTGCACCTCTGGATGAAGTATAAGCCTGGCTGCTGCTTGGGCACCAGGAACAGTGTCTCAGAGTTTTATTGCTATGAAGAGACACCATGACTACTACAACTCTTACAAGGGGAAACATTTCATTGGGGCTGGCTTACAGTTCAGAGATTTAGTCCATCTCATTCTTCATGGCAAGAAGCATGGCGGCACACAGGCAGACATGGTGCTGGAGAAGGAGCTGAGAGCTCTACATCTGGATCTGTAGACAGCAGAAGTGAATGCTACACTAGGCCTGGCTTGAGCATCTGAGACCTCAAAGCCACCCACAATGACACACTCCCTCCAAGGCCACTCCTCCTAATAATGTCATTCCCTATGGGCTAAGCATTCAAACACATGAGTGTATTCAAACCGCCACAGACAATGTGAGGAAAAGGCAGATTCACCCTACCCCTATTTCCCCACACCCCTACCCCTGGCCTGTTACTGGTGCCAGGTCCTTCAGGGAGCAAGGTCAACAAGTTTTAAAGGCCTTGCTGCATTCCAGGGGCTCTCCTTTTGTGTGACCTGGGCCCTGAGGCTAGAGGATCCACTTGACAGTGTCTCATCCATGAGGCATCAGCACCACTAAAGTGGCCTACTATTAGTTGAATGAAGTGAGGTTCTGATCTGGGGTGCAGGTGAATAGGCTGTGGGGTGCACTTCAGGAAGGAAACTTCAGGAAGGAAACACTGTAGAGTAGGAGGTACTTCTGTTGATACCAGGGACAGGATCAGCTCCACGTCAGGCTGAGGAAGCCCCAAGAGGAGAGGGACAGGAGCTGAGCTGAGGATGGGGGTGGGACTCCAGATGGAACCCAGTGAGCAGACCCTACACAAAGACTCCTAGGACTGATGCCAGAGCCCCAGCTACAGTGAGGTGGGGGATCTTTTTTGGAAAGTTGTTTCCTGCCAGGCCTTGAGTCCTCACTTCCCCCTTAGCACTGCCCAGACCCTGACTCATCCACACACAAACTCTGCTCAGGAAGTAGCCTGTGCCCTGGCTATGCAGAAAAGTACTGGAACCAGGGACCCCAGTGGAGCTGGGCAACACTCATTTTAAAAAAAAAAAGAACTTGGGACTGGGCCCAAGCACTCTGGAAGCAGAGGCAAGGGGATCTCTGAGAGAGTTCCAGGGAAGCCAGAGCTACAGAGAGACGCTGTCTAGAAAAAGAAGAGAAGGAAGAAGAGGAGTGAAGGAAAGGAGGAAGGGGGGGATAAAAAGTAGCGGTAGTAAAGTGGAGCTGGAGAGATGGCTCAGGATTGAGAGCACCAACATGGCAGCTCACAACCATCTTTAACTCTAGGCCCAGGCATCCAGTGCTCTCTTCCATCTCTAGGGGCACCACATATGCATATGCTACACACACACACACACACACACACACACACACACAGAGAGAGAGAGGTAAAGCACCCATGCACATAAAATGGAATAGTCTTAGGAAGAAAGAGTGGCAGGCACACCTGATAGAGGTGTAGCCTTAGCACCATCTAGGTCTGCAAGGAAGGTGGCCGTCCTCCTTACAGAACAGAGAGCTATGTGGTTTTCGGGGCCCTCTTCCTGTTTTGTTCAGTTAGGTTAGGTTTGGTTTTGAGCCAGGTGTCACTCTAGCTCAGGCTGACCAGGAACTCACTATGTTGCCCACGATGGCCTTGAGTTCACAGAATACTCCTGCTTCAGCCTCTCTCACTCTAGGATAACACATGTGAGCCATCAAGCAGAGTGCCTTTTATTGTACTGGTGGCTATTATAGTTATGTACTTATGTTTTATATTTACGTATTTCTTTGTGTGTGTGCACACTCCATGCATTAATCCCTGTGCCTATCACTGCATGTGTGGTGCCTGTCACTGCAGGAATGTGGACATCAGAAGACAACTTGTTTCTCTCCTTCCACCATGTGGTTCCTAGGAATTGAATTCAGGTCATAGACTTGGCAGCAAGTACCTTTACCTCCTAGCCCCCAACCTCTTTTTTGTTTGTTTTGTTTTCAGAGACAGGGTTTCTCTGGAACTCACTCTGTAGATTAGCATGGCCGGGAACTCACAGAGATCCACCTGCCTCTGCCTGGAAGGAGTGTGCCACCACCATCCAGGAGCATGACCCACACCAGGACTACATCCATTACCTGTACATCTGTCTACAGGTCTCTAACTGGTTCGGCAACAAAAGGATCCGGTACAAAAAGAACACAGGGAAGTTCCAGGAAGAGGCCACCATGTACACTGAGAAAACATCTACAGCCACCAAGGTCCAGGGCTCAGGGGCTCAGACCAGCTGCCAGTCCACACCCAGCCCAGGTGACAAGGCCATGGCTTCCTTAACTGTAAGCTTTGGAGGTTAGGTTGACTCCTATCACCTGATCCCTATAGACAGCCAGGGCCAGCAGAGGGACAAGAGTATCATCTTAGCCTTGCAGGCCAGTGTCTCCCACACAGAGCTGGAGGAAGAGCAGATGGCTGCATGCTTTCGGGAGTCAGATCTAGAGTCCCTTTTAATGAGGGACTGGGCAATTGACTGCTGTGACTGCTGACTCAGCTTCTGCTGTGACTCTCATCATCACCCCGCCCCCATGCTGACCGGACTCCACCCGCTTCTCACAGGTTCCTGTGGCCCCTTCCCCCTGACCAGTGGAGGTGACATGGTTCTCACCCTTCAGACCCTGACCTTCCTCCAGCCCCCACCTGGAGGAATCTGCCTCCAGCCCCTGGTGAGTCAACTGCAGCCACCCAGGGCCCCTCCAGGGCTATGGGAAAGTAGAAGAACCCTGATGCTGGGTCTCTGGGGAAGGAGACTCTGAGGAAAAGTGGGGACATTTAGCCTCTGGATTCAGAGCCATCTGTCACTGAGGATTGGAGACCTGGGAGGCGCCTCATTCTGAAAGGGCGGCAGCTGCAAGGCTGGGGTTTGGTCACTGGGGTCTAAACAGCCAAGCTGCCTCTAGAGATTTCTCAGGGTGTCACCTGAATCCTCTGTAGGCCCTATGACCTCCCAATCTGTCCTGAGGGTCTGGCCAAAGCCTCCTCTCAAGGACCTGTAAGAGCACTGTGTAAACAGAATGGAGCCTGGCATAGTGGCACTGGCATGGTCCCATGAGTCCTGTGAGCTTTCCAGAAGCTCTCTCTGAACCAGCTCTGGGGCTCAGGACAGTGGCAGGCCTGGCTCACTCTGGCCCTGCCTGCCATCACTGTGAGACCCAGCTCGAAACAAGCTAAAGGCTGCAAAGCAGTTTGGGCCTGCTTCTTGTGTGCCTGGAGCTAAAAGGTGCTCTGGGACAGAACCAACAGGAGTAAGGAGGGAAGCAACAGTCTGTCCTGCCCTGGACCAGCACACCTGCCAGTCCTAGCACTGAGCAGAGGGAGAGTCAGACCTGGGGTGATGCCATGCCCTACAGGTACCCACACCTGTACCTCCTTTAATTTTCAGTAAAATGTGATCTGAGCAGACCATTTGCTTGCTTGCTTGCTTGCTTGCTTGCTTGCTTGCTTGCTTGCTTGCTTGCTTGCTTGAGACAAGGTCTCTACATAGCCTTGGCTGTCCTGGAACTCTCTATGTAGACCAGGCTAGCCTCAAATTCACAGAGGCCTCCTGCCTCTTCCTCCTGAGGGCTGAGATTTTTAAGCCAACATTTCCATCCCCTTGTTCACCTGGCTCTTCTTAAAGGTCACTCTGCCAGCATGGCCACTGTCTGCTACCTGGGTGCTTTGGCACATGCCTGCCATGGCCTCATTCAGAGCCTCTGCCACCCCTGCTCTGCCTGGTACAATGTGTGAGGACAGTGTTCCCTTAGGTCAGCACATCTGTCCAGCTGTCCTCAGACAAATGGGCAGAGTAGTAGCTCCATTGTGAGCTGTGTCCATGCACACTGCAGACAAGAAGGAGGCTGCCCCTGTAAGGAAGGGTTCTTGTCGCTCGTGAGCCATGGCTCTGCCATAGGCCACTGTGGCTAGACTCTTGGTTCTGACATATACCCCAAGGGGAGGGGAGAGGCTCAATGCCTTCACCCCACTGCTCAGCCAGCTCTTTGTGAAACTCATCTGCTGAAAAGTTCTGAGTATCCTGGGGACACAGGGACTGGGTGGTCACCTACTCTCACACTGTCTTTCCAGGTCTATAGCACCACCTCACATCCAACCTCATCACCTTCTGGAGACCCTGGCAGCTTTAATTCAGATGTGTCTAACTAAGTTTTGGGGACCTGGTTGAGTGTCCTGTGTCCTGCCAATTACCTCAGGAACCCGGCTGTGGTGATGTTCTTTTCCTGGCCACTTACTCACCTGCCTTGGAATGATTTTTAAACAACAGATTGTTGGTTGACAGTGGATTGTTCACCTAAGGCTTTGTTCTGAGCACCTATTAAAGTTTTTGACTTTTCTGCATTCTAGTGTTTTCAATCCAGGCTTGTCTAGGTGACAGGTAATAACCTAGATGCTGTCACCAACTCTAACACCTCCTGGCCCTTGCTCTGATTGAGAACTGGTTCAGTGTTTCAGCTAAAAGGGGCTGAGATGCCAAGTTCCCATCATGACCCTCTGCCACTTGAAGCCTTGTCTCCTCTTTCCTCCCAGCAGCAGCCAAAGGGGCCCTCCTCTCAGCCTTCATATGGCCTGAGCCTCTGGAGCCACCTACCACCCAATGTCCCTGTGGCCCTGACCCCACCCTGGGGAAAACCTCAAACAGGATGCAGTTATGTCTTTAACCACGAGGGGGAGCAGTCAATCTATAAAAACAAAAAAAAAAAAAAAAAAAAAAAAACTTAAATCCTGTCACCAGACTCCACCAACCATCTAAATAGACTGGAAGGAAACCTGGGAGCCTCAGTTCCCCTATCTGTAGTGTGGAGAGGTCAGCATTCAACACACAGATAATAGCTGTAAAGTTGGCTGAGCCCAAGGGGCTGGGGTCTAGCAGAGGGCCCAGGCATTGCAGGAGAGAGGAGTGTGGAGGCCTAACTGCCCTTCCTGCTCTTCCTGCCTTTCCTGCCCTAAGGCCAGCGAGCCAGCACTTCCTGGGGGAAGAGGACTGCAAAGGGATGAGTCCCTCAGCAGCAGGATGATGCAGGCAGGTGGGGCAGGAATGGGAGTGGGGTGCTCGGCCTGTTCTCCCAGGACACCCAGGTCTCCAGTATCAGGCCTGCTGTGGCCACCCCACCCAGCAGCAGGTGGCCTGCCAGAGATATTCCTTAGTGCCAGGCAGCAGCTCCTGCCGGATGAAACATAAGCTGGGCCTGCCTGGCCTCACAGGACTGTTTTTTCCAACAGTTTCTTCAGCCACAGCCTGACCACAACCTAGATTCCATAGAGCTAGCCATTTTGTGTTTGTCAGCCTGGCCAGACAGTAGCAGGGCCAGGCCGGGGCCCTGGCCTCCCGGAAGGTCTGGCTGCCCAGCCTGAGGCATGCTCTCCTTCCACAGAAGCCCTTGTTATAGCAACTTAGCTGTTATTTCCTTTTCTTTATTATTTTTGTTCTGAGACAGGGTCTTTTTATATAGCTCTGACTGGCCTTGAACTCACCACAATAGTCGAGGATGATGGAGAATTCATGATCCTTCTGCCTCCACCTCTCAAGTGTTGGGAGGACAGGTGTGTGCCAACATGCTGGGCTTGGCTTGTAACCCTTAGAGTCAGTTTGGTATGGAGTGGTAGCCACTGATGAAGGTGCAGACCCAGGTTGTGTGTGACAAGCCCACTTGTCTGTGACTTGTTTCTGTGTCCCAGCTGTCCCAGCCTTGGGTTCCCCAGCTGAGAATAGGGATCCATGAGGACACAGACACACACCTTTAATCCCACACTGTCGATGCTGAAGCAAGAGGCTCTCAAGTTCCAGGACAGCCTGAGCTCCATACGAAACCCTGTCCCAGCAGATGTCAAGCAGGCAATGAACAGCTTATGTTCAAGTGTTTGCAAGGTCTAACCCAATGGAGCCCCGGCAGGAGCACTAAGGACACAGACATGCACCCCTGCAGTTTCTGCTGACTATGGCTTTGCCTCATGCTCCATATTGGAAGACCCTGGAGCAGAGGCGGAACCTACCTACAGAGTCATGGATCAGACTTCACCTCCATTCCCACAAACACTCACAAGCGAAAGGAAAACTAAATCCAAAACTAGTCTGGAAAATTCCCATTCACCCTTGAAAGCCCATATTGAAAAGTGCCCTCCAGACCCTGACCCTACAAGGAGTTTTTGTGCTTGTTTTGCCCTGATTCTCTGACTGCAGTTTCTAGGGGTCATTAACTAAGCACAGCTCTACATGTAGCCATCTCAGAAGTAGGGTGTGCCCTATGTGTGTGCCTTTGTATGTCTATGTTCTGCACAGGATCTTCACAAGACTGTGGGCTAACCTATACTCTTCATGAAACAGACTGGGATAGCCTGGCCCTCTGTGAGTTCATGTCTGCAGAAAGCCTCAGGCAGGAAGAGGGAGTAGGAGCTGTGGCCTCACCTCTGCCTGGCTGGTCCTCAGCCTGGCTCAGCAGTGCTCCAGCACTGTCTGGGGCCAAGTAGTCTTTGAGGACATAGCTGAGGTTTGGCGGTGCTGCCATCTCCAGGGCTGAGTCAGCATAGGGAGGGAGTCAGGCCTCTACTGCAAAAGCAGCTGGGATCTTAGAGGTCCCGGGGTTCCCAGCCCACTTTGTCTTTGGGCTTTAAGAGGGTGGGGTGTGCCCAGTGCACCCAGCTGAAGGCAGCTGGACTCTGTAGGACATAATAGGAAAGACCCTGAGGCCACTAGCCCCCAGCATCCTAAGCTGAGGTGACTGTGGGACACAGGCACGGGTGGGTTTGGTGTGACTTCAAGGCATGGGCTCCACAGAGGTGACAGAATCCTGCCTAGTGTATCCATAGGTGTCTTAGGATTATAGACACTAGTTAGGTGTCCAGAAGGTTCTGGGGGTGGGGTGGGGCAGAGAATGGATTATCTGACTTAAGGGTCAGAGATCGGGTGTGGTCAAGAAAACCTGACCTCAGGCCTGTTGACAGTCAGGCATGTTGGCTCTGACTGACATATTGGCTCTATGGCCTGGACAGTGCCCTTGGGGGAGGTCATGTCTGTCTCCCCATGTCTCTGTCCAATAGCTGGGAGTCCCCTCTTTCCATGCTAGTCCCCTCCTGATGACCTGCTAATGCTCCCATCTGGTCTCTGTTCCCATCCCAAGAGATCATTCTAAAGTAGTATCCCTGCATTCCCCACTAACTGGAGCAGTGTCTGCCAGGCCAGCTTCATCCATCAGGGTCTGAGACCAAGACAGACCCATCCCTAAGACTGATAAGAGTAGGAGAGTGGTGGGTGGCTGCAACAGGCCCACGAGGCCACTACAGGAGAGCCAGAGAGAGATGTTCTGCCAGGACTGGACTGTGGAAAGAGAATGCTGGGTCATGTGGGAAGAACAGACCCCAGACAACCTGTCCTAAAAGAGAAGTAGAGCTCATGGGGGCTGCACGGAATAGGGGTCTGTCCTGAGAAATATGTAACTTAGGCTGGGCCAGCAAGATGGCTCAGCAGGTAAAGGTGCCTGAGGACTTGAGTTCAATCTCTGGGGCCCACATGAAGGAGGAAAGAGAAAACCAACTCCACAAAAGTTGTCCTCTGACCTCCATACTCCTGCTGTGATACAAACATGCCCACATGCGCACAAAATGCACAGGGAGGGAGGGAGACAGGGAGAGAGACGGAGAGGAAGAGAGGAGAAAATAGAGCTCCAGAGGTTTCTTGCTCTAGAAACTGTGGCCCTCCCTCCCTCCCGGTCTTTTGCTCTCTGTCCCTCCAGACTTTGTGAGTGTTGTCCCGCAGCTGCCATGCCCTTCCTACCTCATCTCTTTGCCAAACTTACACATCCTTCAAGACCCAGTTCTAGCTGGGCATGGTAGCTCACACCTATTCTGCAGTGTTGAGGTAGAAGCAGGAAGATGAGAACTTCAAGGCTATCCTTGGCTGCATAGTGAATTTGAGGTTAGCCTGATCTACATGAGACCATGTCTGTAAAAATCAAATAGAAACACCCAGTTACCATATCCCCCAGGTCACAGTGTTCACACTAGCTGAGGCTTTCAGTTATGAAACAGGAACCAGTCACTCTCCCTAAAAACAAATCTTGGGACTCCAATACACTACCGGTACATTAAGCTCCCTTAAAACAAGACATTTAGTCTCCAGGGCCACATCCTGGCAGCCCTTGGTTCTAGTCTGTCTTGCCATCCTCCTCTTGGATTCCAATGTTTTCAAACTTGTTTTAAGTATTTTACTGGCCCAAGACTTTTCTCTTCACCACAGTGTGAGGAATTTTAAGAACTCCTGGTTCTAAAATTATAAAATCTAAAATGTCGGGGGCTGGACATTGGGCCGCCTATGCCAGGAGCTGACCTTAGGGTGGCAGGAGTGGGTCTCTGGAGGGTCTTGGCCCTAATTCCCCTCCCCCCGCAGCCAAGGGGTGTGTCCTGGCAGCCTTGCTGGGGTTGGATGGGGTGATGGATTTACCAGAAGCTGTGGCTAAGGTTCCAAGAGGAAGGCTGGGTCTGAACAGCAGGGTAGAATGAAGGCAGACAGCTGCTGGCACAGGGCAGCTCTCCCTTCTCTTGGAGCTGGTGAATACTGTCCTGTTAGTGGATAGGCAGTGAGGGGAGAGGTCCACAACCCTCTGGGCCCAGCTAGAGAGAGGCTCCATTGACCCCAACCCACACTTACAAAGGGACCAGGGCCAGGCCAGTCACCCCTTAAAATCCAGCTGGCAACTAGAGAAGCTCAACACTTTCTCAAGGAAAGGTATTTGGCAAGAGGGTGGGACATCTCATCAGGGGCTAGGCTCCCCTCCTGTTGCTGGGGAGTTGCTGTGGTGGGTTATTCTTGGGACTCCCCCAGCCAGCTCTGACCCCTGCTCTTTATGACCTGGTCTCTAAGTTGCCTGTCACCTACAGTTCCAGCAGAGCAGGCCAGAATCTGGACTTGCCATCTTTTTATTGGCCCTTCAGGAGCCACATCACTCAGGGTACAAGGAAGTTGTTTAGGTGTGGCTGAAAATGGCCCCACCCAGAGGCATTTGCTTCTCAAGGATGCTTGTGAGTGGTCAAGGCTAAGCACCTTCTAGGGATTAATGGAGAGGGAGACGTGCAGGGTGGTCACATGGGGGAGAACTGGGGTCCACAGGAGCTGACCCCAAGGGGTTCGTCAGTTCTTGGCTGTTGGCCATGCCTCATGGGCTGACACCTGCTAATGACCTGCTGCCAAAACTTGCATGGGGTAATAAAGGAGGTGTTGTGTAGGCCCTAGGTGACAAGGCACCCCAGGCCTCACTACTTGAAAGGACCCTGCTTTCAGGAACTTAGGGAGGCATAGGACTCTCTTTCTTGAGGCTGGGGATGTGGCTCACTTGGTAAAGTACTCG